AGTCCAATATCGCTTTTACCAAGAATACAGGGGAATTAGATGTTTCGTCTTAATAACCCGATACTGGAGTATCTTCTCTAGGCGCTGTTTTACTCGGGCGGTCGCCAGCGACCCGAAACGTGCTTTAATTAAGTTCGCATCAGAGAACCCTGCGAAGATAGTGTGATTACGTTGATAGATTATTGATTTTTCCGCTTGTGGATCAAATGGATAAGTGTACTGTGTGGACTGTGTATTTGCACCGTTATGTCGATTTTTGTTATTTCATACTCGACTTGTGTAGTAGAGAAGTCTATCTCTGTTTCAACGATCAAGGAATTTTAGTACTAACTAATAATTACCTCCCTTTTGATGATTTTTTGTGATTCCGTCTCTCTCGGCTGTGTTTTATCTTTTGTAGCTATGTAGAAAAATCATTCAACTTAACGAAAAAATCTGTATTACTAGTTGATTATGCTTTCTTCTTCCACCTCCTTCAAAATGTAATGCCCTGAAACTGTTCAAAACATACAAGTACGGTATATTATTTGACAGTCAAGTCATAGAAAGCATATTTTATGTCGCAATCGTGCTACAGCATAAATCAGTACGGTACGAACATGAGAGTGTTAAAATTTAACTAGATCAGCACTTACCCAGTGAAAATAGTGTGGATAAGCAAGAAAGGAACATTTCTTAGTCAGCTAATCATCCTTTTCTAGTTCAAATGGTAGAGACAGTAAGAAAAGATACTCTGTTCTGCCTTCTATTACAATCGCACTTCTTTTTTCCGTATTATCCGTGAGATTCGGAGGTTTTCCTATCGTCGCTTCCGCCGAGTCGATTCTGATAAAAGATTTCTGATAAAAAACGAGTCGAGTCGATTAAATAAAATAAAAAATATACCAATCCATAGCATTTTCTACGCTGATCACAAATTTTACATTTACGTCTGGCTAAAATGTCGTAGTAGTGCGCTGGAGCAGCTGCACGCATTTTTCGGAATAATACAAAATTTAAATTATAACTAGCAACAACATTGCGCCTTCTTCCATACGTATATATATCTAAGGATTATTAGGATTTCAGAAGCATGCACTATACATTATATGTACATGTAATAGAAGAACATTTTCTTGTGCTTTTTCTTTCTTCTACTTTACAAAATTTTATCCTGGCTTGCTTGCGTGCTTTTATCTTTCCTTGCATTAGAGCTTCCACAAATAGCGATTTTCTTTTCTATTTTCTTTTCTTATTCACGTTATATATAGTGTGTACGAACGTTATAGGCTTCATGCGGATGCGACGTATATGTCCTTGTTTTCTTTTTTTATCTATCTATCACGTTTGTATGTATACATCACCTGCATATAGTGATGTCACTCTATTCAGTTCCTTTTTATTGGGTTTGACAATTCCTTTTATCCCCTAGTGGAAACTTCTTGATGCAAGAAGCTGCAAGAAAAAAACAAGAAAGTGGGACACTTCTTGCAACAAGAAATGTTTCTTGCTTTCTTGGCTCAAGATCTTGTGCCAAGAAATGTAAGAAAACACTTCTTGCATTTCTTGATCCAAGATTTTGAGGCAAGAAAGCAAGACGTACCTTTCTTGCCTGCAATGAGATTATTTCTTGTGTTTCTTGACGCAAGATTTCGTGGATCAAGAAATCTGATTGTATTTTTTTGGAACAAGAAATTAAATTTCTTGGATTTTTAGCAGCAAGATCTTGTCCCTAAGAAATGCAAGAAAAAGAAGTGACACTTTCTTGCCCAAGAAACACAAAATCTTGGGACATTTCGTGGGGCAAGATCTTGGCCAAGAAATCAAAATAAAACTTTCACTAGGGTCTATAGTTGTTCGCTTAAGTGCAGAATACTGTTTTTTCCTTTCCAGATAGCTGATAACTACTAAGTGAATACACGTGATGTATACATACAAACGTGATATACAGACGGACATATACGTCGTATCTCCATGAAGCTTATAACGTTCGTACGCACTACATATAACGTGCATAAGAAAACAAAATAGAAAAGAAAAAAGAAGAAAAATCGCTATTTGCAGCTGTATTAGAGCACTAGCAAATAAGGAGATATCTCTTTTCGCACATGCATATCTTTCTGTTCTCTTTCGTTTCAATCGACGCGCTGAGACAAAAAAATGTTGGCACACGAGATATCGTATGTGAAAAGAGATATCTCCTTATTTGCTAGTGCTCTATTGATAACACACACATCTCCTCATTAAAAGAATTTTTCCTCTTCGCTTTTCTCTTCTTTACGTCTGCACAGACACATAATATACGTCAAGTGCCGATAGTGACATAAATTTCAGAAATCCCTACATTTCATGGACTTCAATATCACAATATACACACACTAAACAACTCTGGATGTCTTTGCAGAATGCGACATTGAAGATTCTTCTAAAAATGTGTTTTGAAATTGAATGAGTAACACTGGAAGGGATTAAAATGCTCAACTTTCCTTTGTTGAGTTCCTGATGCAGTCATCAGTATTGATAGGAGATGTCTGACTAAGAAAGTAGTGCATCGACCTAAATATATAAATATGAGAGTTTACTTTGTACACCTAGTATTCGAACAAGAAGAAGAACTGGAATTATGTTTCGACGATCGTGTAGAAGCTGACATCAGCTCTTGAGGTCCATTGCAAACAATGAGAAGGAACGCGAGCATTCTCATAAATGCTAACTGAAGATAAATGCTAACTTGAAACTGAGTTATTTACTAATCAATCTTAATGGATTGTCGTGCAGAAGTTATATTGTTGTTCGCTGAGAGCTACAAAAGCTCTCATTTTGTAGCAAATGTAGGAAATTCCTCTGTTTTGTCTCAGAATCCACAGTTTAATCAACATTGCAGAAACTGGGAGAGTGAAAAGAGCGTAAAAGTGAGTTGAGCTGATCTTGTACAACTTTATGCCACAATAGTAGACTACAATTTTACTGTTCGTCAATCTCTTCCGAGTAACAGCAAAAAGCACATAAAACTACATTAGTGCGTCTTTCAGTCCATAAATAAGCTAGGAAAGGTATATCGACGTAAACATTTGAATTCAATGGCAAAAACTTTTCGTTTCTATTTCAAACGTATCTTAAGGGTGATTGTTCGCTTCGCTTATGTTGACTCTCCTCTTTTGTTCGATTGATGGTCGTATTATCACGTAGAATCAAAATACGCAGAAGCACACTTGTATAGATGCTCACGTGGTCGAATAACGAACCTAATAACGATCACTTAATTGTGTTATGTATAGACAATGTTTTCATACATCATTGTTTCACTCAATTGCGTGATGCGCCTAGTTACAATGTCCATAATCCCATATAGAACTATGTCATTCGACTATCAATGATAGTTATTCTTGAAAACAACAAGATAACTTCTATACGACTATCCAACATAAAAAATATGACTTGATTTTATTATTCTAGCTGCACGCTTTTTACATCTGTATAGTCAACAGCACATAAAATATATCTTTACAATCAAACGTATAAGATGGATATTTGGGGCCTGAAGTGACGCTTGACTAAATAGTGACTGCTATTCTAGAAACTCACATCTGCAGTCAATGAGATAAATCAGCTACCGCAGTATTCGTTTAACCATGCGTACATTAGGTGATAACTGTTCGCTTATCTCATAACATTAATCACTCAACTTGTGAAATAACATTGATCATTCGAATGATTCGTTAGCATATGCCCATTATATTTATTGGTTAATATAACGATCAAAGTCTTTACTCTTAAGAAATGTTTATTGGCTTGTGCTACAGAAACAGAAAATCGAATACTAAGCGGTATGGAGCGAATGAAAGTTAAATATTGTCTCCACTGTTTCACTAAGATTGATTAGCAAATAACTATAGATGGATAGTATTTCAAGTAAGCATGTATCTTGGGTAGTATGAGAATGTTTACTTTCCTTCTCATTGTTTGCTCTTACTGGCGCAAAGAGCTGATGTCAGCTTCTACTCTACCGTCAAAACATAATTTCAGTAAAGTTTTGGTGACTCTTCGCCTCTACCTTGTTTTGATGTCTCTCCACTAAAATATGCTCACACGATTACCTTGTGCCTACGAGTTATCCGTCTTAGTGGTATTCTTCAAGAAGAATTTCCTTGGTGACCGATCATGGGCGAGTGGTCTTCAATAGATAAGTTAGCTCTGAGATTATCAAAGGTTTAAAAGAAACTGTGGAAAACCATCAATTGAGTAAAGGACACATATAGTCATTTGTGTTCCCATTCTGTTGAAATTTTTGTTAAACCAACGTGAACGGCTACAGCCTTAGTCGGGAAGGGAAAAACATACTTTCTGCTAATTACTGAGATTTTCATCAAAAACCGAAAGACAACGAAAAATTTTGAAATATTTATATTCGACTCGATTTCTGACACTGATTCCGAATACGTTCTTTTCATTATGTCAAAGTTGAGTTTTGATGGAGAAAATTGCGAATTAGGGGAAAATTCCGACTTTTTCCAGAAAAGTCGACTTTTCTCAGCAAGGAAACAAAATTTTCCAAAGCCGCGCTACTCTTTTGTTAGCTGTCAGACGACGATTCCAATGCTATATGAAAATCGGAGAAAGTTTTTCAAACAAAAGACTACACAGGTTTGCGAGAACGGGGTACCATCTGCCCCTGAGCGCTCAAAAGTTAATTAATTGCACTATATTCACAACTTATAGTAGAAATTTATTTCGCAAATAGAAAATACCAAATAGCGTTTGATTACTATAAAACAGTATAAAAACAAGTATTATTAATATATCATATCATAAATTCTCTTTTGTAAAAGTCATATGTCAGAGAAAGTCAGTTTTGTGTGATCTAATGGATGGCGAAGAAATTCAACAGAAAGGTCACTATTTTTAAGAGTATAAATAATAGAAAATAATATTAAATCGCACTATCGTTCTTATTGCAGTACGAATAATGTAGAGGGAAGACAAAAGCAATATACTGCACGGACTAATATATAGTAATTTTGTTAACGTCCAGTACTAAAAATCGGACAAAACCATGGCGATACAGTAAATATTGGATCTAGATACCTGGCTACGGCAAGTAAACTTGCGGTTGGTGCACTTGAAAATATGGCTGCATAGATAAAACAAAGAATATCATTCACATCTGGATTAGACGGTAGCTGTTGCTCACTAGGACTAAGAACAAACCCGGCACCCACGTTGGCGCCAAGTGCAACAGGATTAGCTGTATAAAGGTCAAGAATACATTCAGCAAGCTCAGGTACAGTATAAGGTGATTGAAGGGGAACCCAGTTGTCGGGGATTTGTTCACCTCCAGTCTTACCTACCCGTTGACCACCACTATAAGAAATACCGATCCAGGTATTTTCAATAGCCTCACTGGCCACGCCAGCATCACCAGGAAATATGTAAGCGAATAGGCAAGGAGTACCGTAATGAAAAATAAATTGTGCGGGTCCAAATACACATCTTGTATTGTTTGCGACACACTCATCATATCGTTGTTTAGCAGATATTTTAAATGTTGGTATACCAAAAAGACCCCCATTTAATTGAGCAGCATTATAGGTCGTGGTCCATGCTTTATTATTAAAATGATAATTATCACATCCAGGATGTGTGGGACACAATTTACAGTCACAACTTTTATATGATGTATCTCCTTCAAAAAAATTATGTTTATTTAAACCATACCCTCCCAGTCCCGATGAATTGCCAATTGAACATGTCACTCCATTGCCAGCTATTACACAAAGTGCAGCCAGCACAGCGCTGACATCATCTGCAATCCCAATGGTCTTAGAGGCGGTTATAACTTGTGTGGGACTGGTAATTCCATTTCGATTTATATAACCATTATTTGCTAAAGCATTCAAACCAGGACAGGGGCCACGTTGGTCACCGGCGCCAGGTGCCTCATATGCATGAGTACCACTGGTAGATAATATTTTATGCGCACGTCTAGCCCTAGATAAAGAGTCCATGTGCGGATGAGATAAAATTTGACTAACCAAGCAAAAGATTAATAGGAAACCTGCTGTGAACTTGCTAATCATTATATACCACATAACAACCAAACAAAGAAAATGTTCGTCCTGTTGTGGTGTATTTATACAAATGAAAGTTATCGGGTGAATATAAGACTACGCACAAACCTTTCTTAAACCATCATCAATCACTGTCACATGAAAATGAATTGTTATCGAGAATTTTTTTATCAACCATTGATCCAGTCCAATTAACGACACGTCATCATGCTGATATAAACAGCTCAAATCATGCAACATCGATAAATTTGAAACCATTCACATCAACATGTTTGAGGTGTAAACCATCATCAATCACTGTCACATGACAAGAAAACAGATAAAAAGCAATATATTACATTCTAAGAAAGGTATTTGACATCGTCAAAAAGAGTAATCACAAAAGCAGGTTAAATAATCAGATTCATTCGATTATAATCACAAGCGAATTAAACTGACGTAAGCGCCCAAGCATTAAAAAAATGTAGTATCACCCGATCTATCTACATTTCTAGACTAACCGTTTCGCTCGTTTTGATATAGGTACACAGAAGATAAATCTAGGCGATCGTCATGTATAGTTTACAGACGAACAGAGTTGTTAATAGTTGAATGCAACAGTTGATATATACTTAGAAGGCAATTATCAATTGCTGGTGAAAAGGCAATTAATCCAAAAAACAACAAGAGTTCCGTCTACTCTGTGACTACGTGATGATAAGAGAGAGATTAATAAGATTGATTAAACAGATTGGGGCGACCAGGCACATAAATTATATTGAATAGATTCGATGCCTTTCACGCACGTGTTTAAATCATGCCTAGAACATATTCTACAATTTAGTCCTCAGAATTCGACCATTGATTGCTTTGATAATCTGGTATCACGCACAAAATTCAAAAGTTTCTTTTTCACGGATTTTCACAATACATGATCGATTATACGCATTTGCTTATGCTAATCACAAATATCTCCTTTGAAAAGTAAACGAGCAGTTACTTTTTTTTTGTTTTGTCGGTAGTGAATGTGAAAGAAAGGAAAAAACCATCACCTTTGTTCAAGTACAAAAATAGAATTACAATGGAGTGGTATGCTGATAGTATGTACGAACAGGTGATCAGTTATATAGAAAACATCGCAATAAGAATAATTTCGAATTATGTAAAAAGAACTTTACATATGCCTATGTGACATAATGGGCGAATTAAATTAATCAGAAAAACACCAAAAGTGGCATCTACTTTGTATATACAACGAGCTCACTCGATTCTTGCTATTATACTATTTTTGTTCATCTAAGAGAGAAGATAAAAACAGAAAATGTTCATGAGCTTTTAGCTCCGTCAACTGACGCGTCTCATTTTATTCTATTTGTTATATGGCACTCAAAGAAATGAATTTAACAGAAAAGTACTATGAAAAATTGTATGAACACATTTTACCTAGAATAATACTTTATCGACAAACAGTTGCACAAGGTAAATAAATAAGTCTAGAAAAAAACAATAACAGACTTAAAATCTCTGTACGAGGGCAACGACTTTCGAGTCAAAAATATAATAATAATTGCAGCTGTTTTGAACTTCATACCTTTATTTGTTGATATTTCGACCTTTAACCGGTCATTTTCAAAAACATAAACAGAAACTGTACAAATGATGAAAACAACTACTATCT